GTGCAAAAAACGCATCCTCGTACCGGCAGCCGGTACGCTTTCGACTAAGTTATGCGTTTTTTGCAGCTATGCTATGCGGAAAACACATATTGACTAGGGGTTGTCTGTGTATGTGTGTGTGTGTCTGTGTGTTCGTATGTGCGTCCGTACCGATTTTTCATCTAAAGACCTACAAAAGCTACAGGGTCGAAACATTAGGAACTTCATCTACATGCACGTACGGGCTACAATCCTCAAAATGGGCGCCATCACCCGCGTGGTACCCAAGTAAGAGCCCGCCAAAGTCTTCTATGGGTAAGTTCATAACTGGGGAATCTGGGAAGCTAAAAGGCTGAAATCTTAAGGGGATGTTTTCCGTCCAAGTAGGCACTAATGAACTCAAAAACCCAGCTCACGGGTAAGCGTGGTGCCCGCATATGAGCCCGTCAAATATTTTTCGGGCAAGTTCATAACTCGAGGACCTGAGAAGTCAGAATGCTGAAATCTTATGGAGATGTTCTGTGTCCAGGTAGGTACTAATGAACTCAAACCCAGCCCCTGGGTAAGCGTGGTACCCGCGTATAAGCGCGCCAAAATTTTGTTCGGGTAAGTTCATAACTCGGGGATCTGAGAAACTAGAATGCTGAAACCTTACGGTGATGTTCCTCATCCAAGTGGGTATTAACGAGCTCAAACCCAGTCCCCGGGTAAGCGTGGTACCTGCGTACGGGCCCGTGAAAGTTCCTTTCAGGTGAGTTGCTAACTCGGGGACGTGAGAAGCTAGAAGACTAGAATTTTGAAGGGATGTTTCTTGACGGTCCTGGCGGGCAGTCTGAAATTCTTTTAGCTAGAAGCATCTGCCGGAAAAACCAGTACCGTTAACGACAAAAACCTGCAGGGAGCTACGCAAAAAACGCATCTTCGCACGGGCAGCCCGTGCGTTGGCCAATTATCTGCATTGCATCGATGCAAAAAAAAAAAAAAAACATAAAAAATTGGTTTGCGCATCTCAGCAAAATTCTCAGTTATTGCTTTCACAGACCATTCTGTAAACTCATCCGCACAATAGCACAGCGACTATGCCCACAATAACCCAATGGAATCAGCAATAGTACTGCTAAAGCCTGAGCCACGAACTCCGTCCCTTGGCATCACTTCTACACCCC